AGACAGCTTTTCAAAATAAAAAGAGCCCTATAAACTAGCTCAGAAATTATGGGTTTTAGTAATAACTAGATAAGCTGGTAGTGTAATTAATAATCACCCTCTATTGTTTTTGTTTTTTTTTTTCATTGACAAACTATAGGAAAGTTGACTAGGTGATCTTTAAGCTCTCTTCACTATTAAATTTCATTGTTTCTAAGGTTAATACTGCACGAGGAAGTAACTTTTAACATGTAGGTGACTGTTCAGTCTCTGTATGTCAGTTATCTACTTTCTGAATATTTCCCTATTGATTTTCTCTTTAGTGATACATTTTAAGGAAATGTAAGATGATATTTAAAATTCTTGTTGAATCATTAATAACTTGATAAGCACAAATTCAAATGTGAATATCATGTATTTTAAAGTCAAAAATATAAAGTTAGTATTATTCAATATCTTAAATAGTTGATGTTATTTTTATATTTTCAGGCACTCATTGACTTTATTTTTACCCATTGACTTTAATACACTTCCATTTAACTATCATTTATTGAGCATCTACCTGTTGAAACACACACACACACACACACAGATGTAGGTGCAAGGGTACAAAAGAGAGCAAAATAAATCCAATTAGGAGATGGCAAGAGATTCATGATGCAGGGTAAGCCTCAAATGTGGACTAGACTCTATCAAATATACACTGTGGGGAGGCAGAGGGGTGAAACCAAGCAATTGCACATTGTAATCAAAGGGATGAAAGTGGAAAAGTTCAGGGTTTGTCTGATGATAGAAAAATTGACCCAAGTGACTAGGACATGGTTTGTACATATGTGTGCAGGTCACAGTCAAAGCAAGCCTGGCAGAGTGTGGAGTCAGATCAGTGCATGCATGCCCAGTTAAGGGTTTCAATTTTATGCATTATGAAATCAGGAACTGTCAAAGGGATCTTTTCAGTCTGAATCAGAAGAGAAACAGAAAAAAAAGTATATTAGTTGATAAGGTTTTAAGTAACATAAGAGGAAGTTGCAAGAACATACACTTAATGAGCAAGATGATGATTAAATAGGTAGCTGTTTGGAAAAAGAAAACATTATCTGGATTAACTTTTAACTAGAAAACTAGACGAGAGAAACACCAAGCACTGGACCGAGCACTGAAGGCCAGCTGAGGTTTTGAGTAGAGCTACAACCCAAAGAATTATATTTTTATTTCACCAAGTCTCTGCCACTCAGTATAGTATAGGAGCAAATAAGTTGAATATCTGAAATTAACTGTGAAAAACTAATTGACATCAAGGATTATGAGATCAGTTCAAATTTGAAAGGATGGACAACCAAAAGTCAGCAGGCAAATTCAAGAGAGAGTAAAGTGGGCAAGGGTAAAACAGTTTTAATTTACTTTTATTTCACCTAACATGCATTTATGTGAAGTAATAAATGTGAAGGGACATATGTGAAAAAATATGTTTATCTAATACTCATAGTTATCCTGTGGGATAGAGACTATTTAATCATCCCAATTTTACAGTCGAGAAAATTGAATCCTGAGGAAGTTTTAAAAATGTACTCAGATCACTGAGACAGTTAATTCTCAACCTAGGGTTTGCATTCAATCATTATAAATGAAGAGTCAAGGTTCTTAATTACTGTACTATGCAATAATTAAATTAAAAGTAGAAGAGTGAGAAGCTAAGTGAACTCAGGCCGGGATCAAAGTAAAATTGACAGTTTAGTTTTAGAATAATAGCAGTTCTCGGCAGTTACAAGGCTTGGAGTATTGTAATAGAAGTGAAGGGCTGAAATAAAATGGAGGCAAAGCCACAGGATTTGAGGGTAAAAGAGGGGTTGATGTCTCTCCATAAAGTATGAAGGAGCACTTGAAGTTAGAAGGGCAAATCAGCCCTGAGACCACGTCCTTGTTCATTCACAGGGGAGGTTGGTACTTGGTACCAATAAGGGCAGATAAAAATGGAATTCCCTACAACCCCAACACACACAGGCATACATGCATGTATGCATGCATGCAAAAGCACACATCCAAGGGTAACAAACACCTTCTACCTGATAGAGCCTTGGGACGGGGAAGGTCCTCAGAGAGAATTAGGATTGCATAAAGGAAATGAAGACATGACTTACATGGTAAGTACTCAATATGATTGCTAGATACTGGGAAACTGTGACTTCAAGCAAAACAATGTACAGAGGGTTCTCCAATAACATCCTTTCCTTCCATGACATTTTGTTATCACATTGATGAGCAAAAAAAAAGGTTTTGTTATATACATGTTTCCACTTCAAGTCACAGCTTCCAAAAGCCTATTGAGGATGTTAAGTGAGGACTTCCTGTAATCAGTAAAACATTTGGGAACTTTTGTTTGCTATTTTTTTAATGGAATAAGCTTTATAATAAACATTTTGTAAATGCCTGGCAGAAAAGACAGGCAATGGAAAGGGGTGGGAGGCACTGAATAGATTTTTAAAATATTATTTGGGGAAACAAAGTACTACTTATATAAACATTGACAACCATGTAATTCTTTTATCTAATAACCCAGGTAAAAGTACCTAACAAATACTGTCACTATTCATCAACTCCAAGAAAAACAACTGTTATTTCAGGTGAATTCTTTGTGTATGTGTGTTTTCACTGGACAGAAGGAATTGCATAAGCCAGTGCTTCTCAAAATGTGGTCCCTGGAACATTAGCATCAGCATCACCTGGAAACTTTTAGAAATGCACATTTTCAGATCCCACCCCAGGTCAGCTGAATCAGATATACCAGTCCTGCAGGTGATTCTGATGTGTGATAAAGTTTGAGAACCTCTAACCTAAATCTACGTGTGTGTATTTCTTTCTGCTTAGCTACCTGGAAATAAGATCCAATTCAACACTGACCTGCAAAAGTTAATTTTAGGTGCTTGTTCACGTGTGTTTCTGTGTTAATTATAATTGCTTTTTCTCATTTTCATTCTTTTGGTCTATACTGTACTTAAAAAGTTATAACCCTTTTGGAGTAAGTATGTATTAAACTAACCATCAATACAAATGTTTGGAGTCTTACTGAGAATTCGTTTTGAAAAATCTGTAACTGTAAAAGAATACATGTTAGTAATTTTTACGTATGCAATTTAGAAGAGTAAAAATATATGGTAAATTGTTAAGAAAGTGGATGAGGAAGATGGATTGTTACTTAATTGACATAGGAAAGGGCCAGGCATTGGCATTAAAAAAGAAAAAGAAAACCAAACTTCGGATGATTCTGATGTATAGCCGTGGTAAGAATCACCAAATTAGAGGATATGAGAAAACAGACCTACAGCATCATGTATTTTGAAGAGTTTGGTGAAAATGATAATGATAATTCTGGGCCACAGCAACACTGACTATAAGAACGGTCTGAAGAAATGGTTTTAAAAAAAGGAAAATGTAATGCATCTAGTGTAAGCTTGAAAAAAAGCTGGGAAACTCAAAGAAAAAAACAGAGAGAAGGGGGTTGAGAACACTAAAGAAAAGTAAATGGCAGGTCAGTTGGACGAGATTCATCATGTCTTTTTGAAAAGTGCGGTGAGTTAACATTCTATCTGCAACTGTGGACAAAATCTATGTGGGTTCAAGGATGCACACTGAAAACTCAAAAGCATTCTTCTCAGAAATTCCACCTTAAAAGCAATATACATCCAGCTGACCCAGAAATAGTTAAACTGTAAGACCAAATACCATCTTGGGGAGGATGGATGGTGCCTTTATTCATTTTCAGATGTGGAAAAAATGTTTGTCTTTATATGTTTATAATCATCCCAAACGTGCTCCCGATAACACCTGAGCAAACTTTCTCTCTGGCTGTCACTTCAATAGAAATTCACTGAACATTAATATTTACTTTGGAATGAGACAGATTTCTGTAACTTCTTAGGAATACAAAATAAATCTTGAAATGCAAATATTCAACATTTATGAATAATAAATATATATTTAAAGAATGATATTCATATGGTTTATTCATAACCTAAGCAGGTGTGACTCTTAAATAATCACATTACAGTAAATCTTGTATTGGAAGGAGAAATATTATCAAAAAGTTACTATTAAATTTAACTAAAAATGCCTCCCAATAATCATTCTGAGACAGCATGATTATTTATATTTGCTTTAGAAGTATTAAAGTTTAGATCTATTATCTTCACTATCATTCTAGTAGCAAGCATTCTTCATTAAATTTACCATATCCTATATAATCAAATTTATCAGATTATTGAGTAAGCTGACGAGACTATATTTAGAAAGAGCCTCAGAGATAGAACAGATGATCAAATGAGCAGGTTTAGAGTAAATGCTTGAAAAATATTTTCTTATAGTGCAATGAGCATAGTTAGCCACCAGAGAGAGCTCTGTCACTATATTTTATTAAAGACAGTAATTTACTTTCCCTCAACTGAATAGAAATTCTCTATCCACCATATCCTAAAAGAAACAAAGCTATTGCTTAATGATTTATAATGTCCAGTATCGAATACTATAAATGACACTTTCAGGTTTAGCATTTGAGAAATAATGTGTCTCTGCCAACAAGAGTGTTAGTGCTGAAGATTGCAAGGGAGATTTCCACTGGGGAAAAGGTGCAGGTTGCATACTTATAGGTAAGTTTCTTTCTCACTAATGGGAAGGTTTCTTCACACACTAGAAATAAATGCTTTATGAAAACAACTCAAAGGCTACTTTCTAATAACATCTTGTTAACTCCAAAGAACTGAGGAACAGTTTTTTAAAGTCATATGACAAACATAATCAAGAAGTAATCAGTAATAAATGGAACTTGATAAATAAGAACCTGAAATTAATAGATCTTAATATCTTTTAATTGTCTGATTCTCAGCAGGAGGAAATTTTTACTATTAAGCAGTGTCACTTTATTTCACAAAAAGTATAGAACTGTACTAATACAATTTTAAGTAAATCAATATTCAGTCCTTTCTCCTGCCCCCAACCGTGATAAGTAAACAAAATGAAGAAACACATACACTCAAGCTTATCCTCAGGTCTTCCTCTTTCAAGCAGAGACAGGTAACAGACAATGTCCTTCAGGTGGATTACTTCTGGGGAACTTGAGTTTGCAGGAGAAGTAGTCCGGGGAGGGGTGATGGCACCTTTATTCGTTCTCAGACCTGGAAAAAAAAAATTGTCTTTATATTTTGTTAATTATTTACAGTGATCTCAAACAGAAAACAAATTAAGAAAATAGAGAAAGAACACACAGGCTACATAGAAAATTGTATTTTTAAGGCATAGAATAACCAAATTCTCTGGAATATCAGTATAGCAGCTAGACACAGCCTACGACTGTTGTAGATGAAGGAGAGTTCTTTGGGATCCACAGACATGGCACTGCTCTATCACCCACTGGATGGTATTCGGGTCAGAATAATATTACCCCAGGTGAGATGGTGCACATGTGAATGCTTGAAGACCCACTTCCCTATCCCACCTTTCTCTGCTTTAGGTAGTGACAGCTATAAATCTGTTGGGAAGATACTTAAAATGGACTTTTCACAAAATACTAAAGAAAAAAATGTAAGTCTTTCACAATATAATTTCTCTGTTGATAATAAGCAATCATCCATTCATAAAGTCATGTATTTGTTTCAAATATTTGCCAGTACCATGGAGAAGACATCCTTTTTCACCATCAAAGGATTTGCCCATGAGTAAGAATAAAGAGAACATAAGCAAAACTCTGGATAAACATGATGGATATTAGAGAGGTAAAAACATATTAACGGTTTGGTTTTTAAATGGTTCTCACTTTATTTCTGAAACCTATTATCTGTGTCGGTACTATGACAAGGATATAGGTTGCTTATTACCTGTCTGGTGATAATCTAACTGAAATATGTTCACAATAACTTGTTAGTTCTATCTTACCCAGAAGCCACTGAAATCAGATTGTGTGTATCTGACAAGGCCTGAAGACAAACCCCAATTATCCTTTGAGGGATATATGACGTTTTTAGAGGTATTTGGGAGAAATAACTAATGGGTTGAATGACAACTAGATTCCTAATCAACCAGAAGCTACTGTAAGGAATAATTGGAACAAAATACAGTTCTAGAACCCTGTTCTTAGCACAGATCTACCTGACTGCGTATCTCTCGCTCTAGTCTAGTTTTTCAATTTGTAACTTTCCATGAATACCCATCATCTCGTCAAGACATCTGAAGATTCCCAGGCATATAATTCAATGTGTTGTGAAATGTCCCAAGTTAGTTTTATCATTGGTGATGTTGTCACTAATAAAGGGAACTATTTACTGAGTGCCTAATATGTGACTGAAATCATGGTAGGAGCTTTAACACATATTATTGCACATTATTCTTACATGAACCCTGTGAGGTAGAGTGCATTTTCCCCATTTTACAGATTAGGGAGAGTCTTACAGATTTCAATTTCCCAGAGTTTCATAACCAGCAAGAGAAGTTCATCTTCTTGTTTCTACACTGGTAGCTTACAAACTATTTTTGTTCAAGGTCAATCATAAAAATGTAAGAAAAATAATTTCCATCTTAACACAGTGCACATGCATGTACACACACACACACACATTAGTGGGATTCATAATTGCTCAAATATTTTCTTTTCTATATTAACCTACTCCTATTCTATTCTACTCTTAAAATTTTTCTCAAAGACCATCTAAACTGAACTGACTAGCCACCAATGGATCAAAAATCACAGTTTGAAAAAAAACACGCTTTTTGTCTTTCATCCTTTTCTTTGTTTGAGACAGAGTCTCACTCTGTCACCCAGGGACTGGAGTGTAATGGCGCGATCTTGGCTCACTGCAACCTCTGCCTCCTTGGTTCAAGTGATTCTCCTGCCTCAGCCTCGTGAGTAGCTGGGATTACCGGTGCATGCCACCATACTCAGTTAATTTTTTTTTTTTTTTTTTTTTTTTTTTTTTTGTATTTTTAGTAGAGATGAGGTTTCACTATGTTGGTCAGGCTGGTCTCGAACTTCTGACCTCGTGATCTACTCACTTCAGCCTCCCAAAGTGCTGAGATTACAGGTGTGAGCCACCATGCCTGGCCCCTTTCTTTTTTAGATGAAGTCTTACTTATTTTAAATGTGGCATTATGCTTTACATTAATTCTACTCCTGTTTATAAAGTAATCAACAGAGACATATATTGTAAATAGACTTTTCTTCTTAATAGAAGTATCAATGTATATCTAATACAAATTAATAGTTATTTATGAACCAAGGAAGGCAGAAAATTGAAGACAATCCTGAGCTTTAAAAAAAAAAAAAATGACCCAAATAATTGAAACTAGTCAACTAAAGCTCAGCCAGCTGCAGGAATAAGCAGTTCCAACTTATGATAAAAAACATTTGGCGCTGACCCTTGACATGACCATAACTTTCAGACTTGGAGAACACAGCTCTTGAATTATGGTCGGATAAGCTGTGACCTTACTCATCCTGCTGATGAGCTAATCCTCTTTTCCAACGTTTCCCCCTGTGGTACTGAAATGATTTAATCAGCTTGATTTAACTCTTTTATAGAAAAATTCAGAACAAAACAAAAAAGAAATAAAAGAACAAGCTCTGACATTTATTTGAAAGAAAGTCAAATATATTATAGATCTTCACTTTGTTTAGAACACGGCATGATCATTTGTACTTACACAACTAAGGTACATGGTGTTTAATTATTAGCTTTCAGCATACTGAACACAAACAATTGAGAATGTAAGGATCACATAATTTTGTCTTTTCTGTATGTAATGTATAAATTGACTATGAACGTACACATATAATTCGTATTTAGCACCACGTTTTTGAAGGAATATGCTATTGTACTAAATTATTTTTGTTTGAAAAAATAAGTAATATTTTCCATTTTCTTTTCATGAAATATTGTTAAATGAACATTTAAAGCTGTATCATGTATTTATTACATGAAATATGGATAACTGAATGTTTAAAGCTGTATCATGTGTTTTCTTTCCATGAAATATTATTAACTGAATATTAAAGTTATATCACATATTTAATTGTGTAATAGTTTTACATTTAAATAGCTTAAAGTTTATGTAAAAGAAATATGGGCATATATTCAATCTATACATTGAAGAACTAATCAACTCTTCCTTAAGTCCAATAGCAGCCAAATATGAGGGGTAAAATATATTCTTTTGCATTGATTTATAGAGTGAACTGAAGAAGATAAAATGTCAAAGACCTTTTATTGTTATTACCCGATAAAAAGAAAATTGTAGAACAGGACTTAATTTTTTAAAGACTATTCTTTTTTAAAAAGTTTGAGGCTCACAACAAAATTGAGACCGTACAGAGATTGAACACTGCTTTACATCTTTCCTTCATTTTCTTTACTAAAGCCTTGCTTATTTCAAATATCTCTCTATGTTTCACATTAATTCTACTTCTGTTTATAAAGTTATTACCCACTACACATGCCACTACCAACATTCCCCACCTAAGTAGTACATTAGTTACAATTAGTTAAACTACATTGACATCTCATTACTATCCAATCTCTATAATATACATTAGGGTTCTCTTTTTGTTGTATATTCTATGAGTTTGGACAGGTGTATAATGATGTGTCCACCATTATAGTATCTTTCAGAGAAGTTTCAGTGCCCTAAAATATTTCTACTCTGTTTATTTATCTCTGCCCTCCCACCCACCTCTGAACCTTTTATTTTCTCTCTAATTTTGCCTTTCCCATAGTGTCATAGAGTTGAAATCATACAGACTGGCTATTTAGACTGGTTTTTTTCTGTTATTAATATGCATTTACATTTCCTCCATGTCTTGTTATGGCCTGATAGCTCATTTCTTTTTATCATTGAGTAACATTGCATTGTTGGGATGTACTACAGTTTATTCATTCATCAACTTGATTAAATTTTGAGGTGTTTAATTAATAAAAAAGCTCAGCTGGGTACCGTGACTCATGCCTGTAATCCCAGCACTCTGGGAGGCCGAGGCGGTCAGATCACAAGGTCAAGAGATCGAGTACATCCTGGCCAACATGATGAAACCCCATCTCTACTTGAAATATAAAAATTAACTGGGCGTGATGGTGCATGCTTGTAGTCCCAGCTACTTCGGAGGCTGAGGCAGGAGAATCGCTTGAACCCGTGGAGGTTGCAGCGAGCCAAGATTGTGCCACTGCACCCCAGCCTAGGCAGCAGAGCAAGACTGTCTCAAAATAATAATAATAATAATAAAAGTAAAAATAAAATTAAAATTAAAAAGCTCACAGGTTTATTCTTGCTCCCACCACCTCCCCAAGACCAGCCCACTTTCTCTTATGTTTCTTTATATTATGTTATCATTTATTTTTCTGAAAGCAGGCCCTAGTCCTCAATCTAACTCCATAGGGATTATTTTTACACCCTACTCTACTTTTTTTTTTTTTTTTTTTTGCCCTTTCCCTAAATCTGACTGAAACTCACTACTTATCTTCCTCGAATGCAGTTCACTACCCTGAAGAAAAGTCCTTTTTCCTTTTAAGAAGTTTGCACTAATCTAATGGTTATTGAGAAGCTTAGGAGACAACATGTGTGTCAACCAAGAAGTTGCAAGCCAGGCTTCTTGACTACAGCTGAGATGGCAAAATGACAACATGAAATACTAAGTGGGATCCTCTCTAAACAGCAATAGCCTCTGATGAGGAAGCTCAAAATTCTATCTTTAATTAACAAAGGTCAATTTTACCCACACAGTCACCAGTGAAATTCTCTCTTTATAACTAAAACGAAACATAAAGCTGGGCAAAACAAAAGGGTGGGTTTGCTTGTTTGTTTGCTTGTTGGCCTCAAGTGATCAGAGCTAAATATTGCTTCAGAGCTTCAGAGTAAATATTGCAATTGACACTTAAAGTAGTATAATCTGCAGATTCTTCTACTTGCCCTAGGCTATACTACTTTAAATATTTCATTACACAAGTGAAGTAAATGTGTGTGTGTGTGTATATATATATATAAAATACATATATATGTGTATGTGTATATATTATAATATACAACAAAGTACAAAATAAAGTGAAAAATAATCATTGTAACTGGAACATATTAGTCTTATTAGGAATAATTATCTTGTACTTAGCATTTATTTCTGTTAAAATAATTTCATTAT